GCTGGAGTGGCCGCGGGGGGGTCTGGAGTCGGGCGGCCGCTGGCGGGGGACGCAGTCGCCCGGGCCGAGATTGGGGGGGCAAGGCGGGCGACAGAAGGCCGATGCCTCCGTCGCCCGGCCCTCTACAGAATCCACCCCCCAAACCTCCAGGTATTTCCCTCCTTAGAGCTGGCAACCCTACATTCCCCTCAGTGCCTGTTGGTAGGCAACTAAGCTTGGTCCTGTCACCTACTTTGGCCTTTGGGAGAAAACACATTGGGGCCAATCCTGATAGGGTTGCCAACTCCAGATGGGAAATTCCTGGAGATTTGAGGGATGGAGCCTGAAGAGGGTGAGGTTTGAGGAGGGGTGGGACCTCAGACAGGTACACTGCCATAGACTCCACCCTCCAAACCAGTCAGTCCCACATAGGGAACCATTGTTGCCAATCTCCAGGTGAGGGCTGGAGAGCACTCAGAATTACAACTGCTCTGCAGAAGGGAGGGCAGAAGTCAGCTGAAGTCAAAGGGGCAGATAATGGTAGGTTGATGGTTAGCTGGGAAGGAGATGGGGTTGCCAACTACATGCTGACAAATTCCTGGGGATTTGAGGGGTGGAGCCTGGAGAGGGTGGGGTTTGCAGAGGGGTGGGACCTCAGACAGGTAGAATGCCATAGACTACACCCTCCAAACCAGCCATTTTGTCCTGGGTAACAATTGCTGCCAATCTCCAGGTGAGGGCCACAGATCACTCACAATTACAACTGCTCTTCAGGTAGCAGAGATCAGTTCCTCTGGAGAAAACAGTGGACTCTGTCATTATACCCTGCTGAGGTCACCACAGCAAATTGACACTGTTTGCCCAAAGCCAGAGCACTGCCCCAGAGCCTCTTTCTAGATCTCGTTGTATTGCTTTCACAACGGGCTTTACTGCTAGTCAAACTATATTGCTGCAAGCACAGTATTTTGAGAATGAATGCTTTCTAGGTTAGTGCTAAGTTGGATATGGAAGCTATCACAGAATAAAGCTCACCAACCCTTTTTTGTTCTGACTGTAACACTCTTGGTGTGCTACATGCGATCTTCGATAGGCAGGTTTGGGGTATTTATTTATTTAGTGTATTTGTATTCCACTTTTCACCCCAACGAGGACCTAAAGCAGCTAACAATGCAGAGAGAAGACGTACAACAGAGTGAACAAGACAAGGAGGGTAGGCTTCCGATTGTTAGCTGATCTGCCCTGCTCTAGGCTTCAACCCTAAGGACAAGAGCCCTTCAAACCCGCACCTCTGGGCATGCCCAGGCCAGTGTGTAGACAGCTGCTGCTAAGCAGCAGATTCTTATCCTCCCCTTATTTTGTCTACTTTCTTTGTCACAAAATGCCTTCTGCCTAATAGGTAGCATAGCAAGTGTGTTATAGCCAAAAATGGCGTCTGAGACTTAGGATGTCTTGATTCAGACGTAATGGTAAACAATTGCCATTATGTGAATGAGCCTCCAGGAGACACTTGAGTTTGATCGTTTCCACAACCTTTGTCCCACTTGCAAATGGCCAGATAATTAGACACTTCTGTGTTTGTGGCAAACTATGATTTGCTGTCACACCCAAGCTGGTTTATACCTCCCCTTCAAACAGGGCCAATTAATAGCCCAGAGTTGGTTGGGGCACCAAATTGGAAGGGGGTGCCACTTGGAAGAAGGTGACAGGGGTTTCCTTGTGTGGTTTGTCATCTCCCAGGTCTTGTCCAAAGCAGACTGCAGTCCATGGGAGGAATCACATGCTCTCTTTCCACTGGGGCTGTGGCTGCTCAGCTCCAAGGACTCATAGGCACTCTCTGCAGTGCCTTGGAGCTGGGTCTGCCTCTAGTATGGTAGGAGGGCATGCCTCCTTTCCATTTTTGCTGATGCTGCTGAGCTGCAGCAGGCCGCAGAAACTATCTGCAGCCCACCTGCAGAGGAGGAGACATATTCTCCCACCACATTTGTGGCCCTGCCATCCAGCTCCAGGACAGGCTGTTTTGGAGACCGGCAGCAACAGCATGTGCGTGTGTGTGTGTAAGCATGTACAGTCTCTTGAGCTATGCCCCCACCCCACTTTGGGGGGGCAAAAAACTTGAGCCAGCCTTGTTTTTAGATCAGGTTTCCAAACAGTTTAATCTAGGGTTGCCAGGTCCCCCCGGCCTAGGGTTGTCATTCCTCTGATGGGGGTGGGGGCTCCCTTGATTTCAGGCCCCTGATCTGCCCACCAGCCAGCTGGCCAGCAGGGGAATACTGCCTCCAGAGAGCTCCACGGCACCTGACGTGCCCAGCACAATGCTGTCACCCAGAGGTGACATCATCACACTGGGCATGTTGTGGGGGGATGCTCTAGCATTTGGCAAAAAACTCTATGGTGACCATAGAGTTTTTTGCTGAAAGCTGCAGCACCCCCTGCAACATGCCTCGCATAATGACGTCACTTTCGAGTGATGTCATCGTGGTGCGCACACGTAGCTCACATGCCTAAAGATCCCAGAGAGGAGCCAGGAGCCCCCCGCCATCAAATGTTAGGGACCTGGCAACCCTACCCTGGCCACTGGTGGGGGAAGGGAGAGCCATGTTGGGAAACTCCTGGAGATTTGGGAATGTAGCCTGTGGAGGGACCTCAGTGGGATACAGTGCCATGGAGCCCACCCTTCAAAGCATCCATTTTCTCCAGGGGAACTAATCTTTGTAGTCTGGAGATGAGCTGTAATTCCAGGGGATCCCCAGGTACCATCCGGAGGCTGGCATCCCTAGCTTTAACCCTGATTTGGAATCCTGGACTGCAAGAGAAAATGCAGGCTGTACTTTGCCAGGTCAAACATAACAGTGAACTACTGTGTGCCATAAAAGCAGAAATAATTCATTAGCTGGTGGCATGTGAGGAGAGGCAGAGGATTCTCGAACCCACAAATCTCCAGGTTTAGTCACGTTAACAGAAAACCGTGGTTTGACTTAAGCGCAGTAGCTTTTGCGCCCAAATTGATACTATCCTAGAAAGCAAGCATCCTAACAAGATGGGGATGCTACAGAACAAACATTGAACAGAATACCAGAATTAGCAGCTGCCTTAACAAATCTGACTGGGAAGCTGTGTTTTTCTTTTTTCCGCTTGCCTACCATATTTTTCTTTTGCAAGCAACAATGTCTTGTTTTCCTTTCATGCAGGCAACAGAGATGCTGCTTTTCAACAAGAAGCTGACTGCTGCAGAAGCCTGTTCCGTGGGGCTTGTTACGGAAGTTTTCCCTGACAAGACCTTCCAAAAAGAAGTGCGGGCAAGGCTAAAAGCTTACGCAAGTCTCCCCAGAAATGTCAGTATTTTAAAAAATTAAAATAATTGCATATATCCAAAGTTTGGAAGCATGTGATATGACCCCAGCCTCCTACGCAGATGCAAAGGGACTGCTATGCAACCAGGCATTTGCTCCAGAGTATCTCCATGGGTAAGGGCTGCGATGGCTCAAGTGGTTAAGATGCTGAGCTGCAGACTGGAAGGCTGGTAGTTCAGCAGTTCAAGACCCGAGTGCTGCATGACAAAGTGAGCTCCCGTCTCTGGCCCCAGCTCCTGCCAACCTAGCAGTTTGAAAGCAAGAAATTGCAAGATAAATAGGTTCCACTTGGGTGGGAAGGTAACAGCATTCCGTGCGCCTCGGGATCTAGTCATGCCAGCCACATGACCACGGAAACGTCTTTGGGCAGCACTGGCTCTTCAGCTTAGAAACGGAGATGAGCACCGCATCCCTAGAGTAGGATTCAACTGGCTTTTGAGCAAGGGAAACCTTTACTATCTCCATGGATGGTGTTGTGACATAAGAATTTCATAGCTTGACGATTTTCCCTATATGCATGAAAATTAGGGTGTTTCTGAGATTTTTAACCTTAAAACTTTTGTATAGTTCAGAAATATTGTCCCATTCAACAAACAATTGTCTCATTCATTCTCAGAGCTACCCTATGAGATAGGTTACCCATATTTCACACGAATGAAGCTGCTTTATACCAAGTCAGACCATTGGTTTATCGAGGTCATGCTGTCAAATCTGACTGGCAGCAGCCCTCTCCAAGCTGTGGTAGAGTCTTCTGTATCACCTACTACTTGATCCTTTCAAATTGAGATGCCATGGGTCATACCTGAGACCTGCATGCAAAGCAGATGGTGCACCATTGAGCCATGGCTCTGCCATATTCTACATATTGAGATTGAGGTGGGGGGAGAGAGAGAGAGGGAGGGAGATCTTGTCTGGTGTCATGCACTAAGTTTAAGACTTGGCCGAGGTTTTAACTCAACTCTGGCAGATGACTACTTCTTTTTGTAATAAATGTCAAGGCCTGTTTATTTTTAACTCCCGTTTTTAAAAAATCCTAAAAGTTAGTAAGTAACACTACTGGGTGGCTTAAGCTTATCCTATGGACTTTTTAGAATTTGGCAGTCCTGTTTTGCTGACCCTTTGCATTTTGTTGCTCTCAGAATTGCTCAGAAAACACTTAGGCACAAAAGAAACTGGGCCAAGCAGTTTCTGTGCTGGAATCTAAGTAGTTGCCACACTACTTTCACCATTTCTGTATAGACAGAGGCTCCTGGGGATCCACTAAGAGTTTGTCTGTGCACTTTTTCCTTATTTAATTCAGGCTGTTTTCCTATCTACCAGATATTGCATATGGATATTATTAAGTTGTAGCATTATTTGAGCCTGACCTTATGAAAGCTGTTCAGCTGTCAACAATCTTCAGTCACCCAAGAAAAACAATTAAACAAGATGTTTTTAGGAAAGCCAAATGTGTATCCTAGTTTATAGCAAAAAACAAACAAACCACCAGTGGAGCTCTGACCCGATACCTTGAGTTAGCCATCACCCCAGCCTTCTCCCCGTTACACAAGATGTTAGGAGTTATATGTGCATCCGCAGAACTGATTTTAAGTTGTTTTAATTCTGTATCATGTAATTTGTATACTGAACGCACTTGGTGCCTTATGTGAGCCGCCCTGAGCCCCGCTTGCGGGGAGGGCGGGGTATAAATGTCATAAAATAAAATAATAAATAGCCCAGATATTGAAATTGCAAAAAAAAAAAAAAAAAAAAGACAAAGCAGTATATAAATACTGCTGGCCTGGCATAGGCTGAGCTGGGCTTCACTGGGCAGTGTGTAACATTGATTTTGGATGACCACTGAGGTCCCTGTTGCTTGCCCCTGGCTAAGCCAACTTTTCTATTCTAAGCAGGGTCTGTGTCCCAGATCTGAAAGGATGGGAGGATTCATTGAAGGAAACATCACTCAAGGGTTGCAGGACCAAAGCTATTTAGAGTTCTAAACATCTGTCTGTCTCTCGGGTCTTTTAAAAAATCCTCAGATAATTTCCCACCGGACAAGAAGAATAAAAATTTGATTGTTAGACACTGGCTTTCATCTGTCACTTTCACCTACATTATTTTTGTTTAAAAAACAAAATAAACAGATACCCTTAATGGCTTCCTTACCACAGAGGTTTCACCTTCATCAAGTTCCTGATAACATTTTAATTCATATTTTGATGGGATTTTTGCTGCATGTAAATAACAGTATGGGATTTCAGTGGGAAATGCATGTGCTTAGTTTATCCAGAGATCACGTGTATAAAATGGGGTGGGTTACATCTTGCAGATCTATTAGCAGAGGTGCTTTCCTCTGGCAGAAGGAACCTTCCCCTCATACAAAATATCCAGGCATCAGGGCAAAGCTCCTTCCACCAAAGGAAAACACCAGCTTAAGAACAGATCTGTGGGAATCCAACTCAACGTGTGTTCTTTGCTAATAAGAAAGTACTTTTTTGTTAATTCATACTATACCATCCTCTGCTTGAGAGCTCTTAGACATAAAATATATCATTACCCTGATATACTGGGTGTAGTTGAAACTAGAGTTAGTTAGCACTTCTTTGGCTGTTGTCCTGGCTTTCTTATTCCTCACCTTACCTGACAACCTACCTACAGATCCCATAAGACGTAATTAATTAGATTCAAGCAGATTTGGTTAAATCAGCATATATATGGGAACTTTCATCTGTTCATAGATGAAATTTAACTCAGGTGTGCCCTTTGTACTATGTGAGTGAGTGTGGTATAATGGTTAAGAGTGATGGACTAGTATCTGGATGCCACTGGACTCAAAACTTCGTTCTCACATCTGTTTGTTAACTCTTGTGTTTGTATGCTAATGTACTGCCATTCATAGATCTTAACAACTGCCTTAATCCAATCTCAGCTATAACCACCCAGTTACTTATGCATCTAGATTCTAACTAGCCCTTCCTGGAAACCACTGATCCCGCTAAGCTGAGTTAGTGTGAGCTAGCTCATAGTTTTTTAGCCTCCGGCTCACACGTTTGTCTTCGCTCAGGAAGGATGGCTCCAGAGCAAACTAATTTATGCAGGAGCCAAATCACTTGCTCACAACTGTAATGCCAATAGCTCACAAAGTAGAATTTTTGCTCATAAGAACCCACAGCTTAGAGGGAACATTGCTGGCAACCCCCCCTTCTTATATGTAATGGTTGAGGAGATTCTGTTTCACTGTATCTGAAGAAGTGTGCAGGCACACAAAACTCTGAATAAAACTTTGTTGGTCTTAAAGGTGCCACTGGACTCAGACTTTGTTCTGCACTCTGACAGTGTAATCCTAAAGAGTCACACTTTTCTAAACCCATCGATTTCAATGTGTTTAGAAGGGTACAACTCTGTTTAGAATTGCACTGGTAAGAGGGCTACTCCCCACCAGGCATTGCCCTCTGCAAAAGTGTTCCAAACCAGGGCATGAATCCAGCCTTCCTCCAAGGAGTCTTCCTCCAGAGTCCAGCTTCTTCCACTAAGTGGCCTTATGTTGGAGGAAGAGCTACTTAAATTGGAGGGAGGCTTTCCTCCGGCTCTGTAGGCTGGAGCAGCAGTAGGATACGGGTAGGACCTAGCCCAGTATTTGCTGGTTAAAGCCAATATATGGAGTTTTTTGCAAAGAGGGGTTAGCTTGTTGCAGTAGAAACAAAAAGCATTTTACCAATTTGTGGGTTTTAATTCACAAATGCTTATACTAGTGCTCAGGGGGTCATTTTGTAGAAAAAGAGGTGCAGGAGCTCATTAGAATAACATATTTGCATATGTCACACCCCCTGACCTCACCTGAAATGTGTCAGAAGGCAACACCCACCGCTCAGGCTCCACTGGACTGTTTTGGATTGCTAGCTATTGGGGGGGATGTGCAGATCTGTCCTCACAGAGGACGGAGAGCATGTACCTGAATAAAACTTGGTCTTAAAGGTGCCACTGGACTGTTTTGGACCGGGGGGGGGGCTCTGCAGCTTACCTGGCTGCTTCTTGCTCTGACTGAGGGCTGCTGGGAGCTGGGGGTGGGGCTTGTTGCATGTGCCCACCCCCTGGGCTCTTTACTGCCGGAGCTCTGCTCCTGTGCGCTCTTGCAGGAAATGACCCCTGCTAGTGCCACAAGACTTGCTTGTATTTTCAGGGAAGAATCAGTGGGAGAGGATACACATCTTCCCCTATCTGCTCCCACCCGCTGCCATTTTCCCACCAGTTGACCTTAATCCAGTCTCACGGTTTGTCTGGGTGAAGAGTTGCAGGGAGGAAAGCATCAGGGGGAGAGAGATTAGGCACCCCCTTTCCACCTGCCAATTTTCCTCTGCAAACCCCCTTCCTTCACATTAGCATTACCGGGCAAACTTGTTTTTTGGAACCTTAAGAACATAAGAACATAAGAAGCTCTAGTTCCAGAATCACTAACAGGTTAGTGAGACAAGATCTTCCCTTACAGAAACCGTGCTGAGTCTGCCTCAATAGGTTTTGTTCATCTATGTGCCTACTAATTCTTTCCTTGTGTAGACCTTGTAATGTGCAGCTCTAGTTCCAGAATAATGCTGCTTGGAACTGTTTGTTCCACACTAACTGCAGGCTTTGAATTTTATTTTCTCTGTAGTCCCTGGCAATCTCCAAGCAGTTACTCCGAAGCATAGAAAAGGAGAAGCTCCATGAAGTTAATTCTCAAGAATGTGCATGTCTCAAAGAAAGGTGGCTCTCTGATGAGTGCATGAATGCTGTAATGAGCTTCCTGAAGAAGAAATCGAAACTCTAATCACTCGCCCAACTGTGCAAAATAGATTTCTGTAAAACTAATTTCTATCCCTTTTCCTACAAGAACAAATGTCACTAAATTAATATTCCAGGTAAGTATCCAAGATAGTGCCTTAATTTTGACAAGGGAAATCCATTTATTGTATTGATGCCAGAGCTGCTTCAGTCATTAATGGTAGCCACCTCAGATCTTTATCCCTTTTTGTATCTGGACATGAATTTATGATGCCAAGCGCATCGCAAATTCTGGCTTGGGCCACGAGGTGGGAAAGCTCTTATCGCTTTACATGCTGAGCGAATCTCTTTGAATACAACAACAACTGTTTGCCTTCCAAAAGGGGTCAAAGATTCGATGTCACCAAATTTTGCAAGCTCCTGAGCAACTGATTGCTGGTTGCGTTGGACCAAAGCATTGTTTGGTGTCCACCTATTGTATAAGAAGAGACAAGAAGAAGACTGACATTATTTGTATTAGTAGAGAATCTGAATTAAAGTATTCGTTTACAAAGTCTTATTTATGGACCAAGTGTTTCTGTGTAACAGTTCCATGTGTTTTGTTATGTGATATAACACTTGCTGTGTGTCACAGGTGTTTACTGGGCAGACACTTTTGACATCTTCCCTAAGGCAGAGGAGCTACAAAGTCTGAAAGTATGTGTAGAGTGATTTTTAAAGTATTTTTTTAAACTACTAAAGACTGAAAGGAGATATATGTGAAAATATGTGAATAAGCAGTCGCATCCTGCAAATGCTCCTGGTATTGCATTAACTCAGCCTTTGTTTTAACTTGACCTTTAATCACATTTTCTACCTTTGGCTGCCCTAATACAGTGTTCAGGTACTTAGGTTTGGTGTCTGCAAATCTGGGGGGAAACTGGAGTTTTGCTCATCCTTATGTTTGGCAGTATTTCACCAAGCTGCATACTGAAAAATAAAGTTTTCTCATTCATGGACAAGCCGTGATTCTCAAATATTCAACTGCTACACAGCTACTACCCAGAAGAGTGTTATCAATTGATTCTCCTTAACCTGTGGGCTTTTTTTCTTGTCAGAACAATGTTATCCAAGCTGTCATTTACCTTGCAGTAGAAAAGATACTAGGGGGAGGAGGGAGACATTCATGCCTGACATGATTTTGTGAAATTTGAGCCTCTGATGCCAAGAAAAAGAGTTCAGTCCACTAAGAAACCTCAATTAGTTGGAATTTTGCATGATCAGGCAGTGGGAAACTACATACCAGAAAAACAAGAAGGGATGGACAACATACCACTGAGGCCCCAGTATTAATTCACTCACCAAAAGGATTTTTTAAAATGGAAAAGGCTTTGGCTTTACATTGCTGTTCCCCTATTTCTTCAGAAGAATTAAACTGTGATTCTCTCCTCCTCTTCTGTAGGACCCTAGAACAGCTTCCAGCTTCATATTCCATTGTCTTCATATACAGCTTTTTATGTGGAGAAGAAATACCCTGGAGTATGATATCTGAGATTCTATTTTGTTTCACTTTTTCAGTCTTCTGACAAGTATAAATTGCACTGAGTGGTCTGTTCCAGAGAGAACACTGCATAAGGAAGTGTGACCTGATTATTTCCTGGCCATTCATTTAGTTTTTCTTATTCTGAAACCTAACATTTTCACAGGTATCCCCCCCCCCCCCCAGTTTAACTGATGGCTTTTTAAATTAGTTGCCAGGAGAACAGAGTTAGAGGTTGAATGTAAATGTTTTTAGTAGCATCCCTATGACTGAGCCAAATCCTAAATTTATAACAGGTGAAAAGAGTTGTGTTCCCTAAAGAAACAGGAGCATGAACAAAATAAACAAATACCCAGTATTAAAAAAGAACTAAAATATGAGAAGTTCCTTTCTTATTTCTGCCTTTGGAGTTCATCTCTGATTCTTTGGAAGGTGATAAGAAGTCAAGGGAAAACATAAAAAAGGCCATAATAAAGAACTGTTGTGGTATACTTAGAATTGCTTTTTAAAAAAAACTGTTTCTCTTCCTATACTTTTAACAGTAAGTTGGCTTGTGGAAAGTGTAGCAGATGAAGTTTTCCAGGCAGGGAGATCAGGTGAAGTTTCTTCTATATTGCGCCATCTCGAGAAGAAGTTTCACCTGCTAAATTTCTGTGAACCAAGAGAAGCTGTTAAAAATACAAGCAGAGCTAGTAATAAAGTTGGAAACTTGACTAGAGAGTAAGAATCATATGAAATCTACATAAGTAGCTGACAAGAAATTAAAGGGTTGTTTTGTAAAGAAGCCAGATGAACATACATGTGTGTTTGTGTCTTTCTTTTGAATGAATAATTAGGCCTATTAATTGGATTTGTCTGTGGTCTAGATTCTGAAAATACTTTGTATGCTGCAACTTTACCACCCAGATCCAGCTAAGAGTACTATGCATACCAAAGTAGATTTCCGTGCACATATCCCCAGAGGAGTTTATGCATAAGTAGGCATTACTCATATGGGCTACCCCCTACAATTCAAAAGCTGAGATTGGGTACACTCTGCACTTTTTTGAAAATCTACCATTGTGGAGATGCACTTTTGAGGGGGAAGGCCAAGTGGATTCAGTTCTGCTGTTCTCTCTTCCCCAACAAATAGGCAATCAGTGGGATATAATGTTTTTAAGAAATCTCCACTCACACAGTCCCAGCTATTATGAATGCTCTCACCATGTGCATGTAGGAGATGTTTATTTTTTTTTCAGTTAATTATGTTGCCTATACCACAGCTCAAAAAATCTGAGCACTTGGTTTAATCACTTTGTTTACATCTTTAAATAGCTAAAGCCGTAAAGAGTACAGGATGTACAATTAGTAAGAACGCTTTTAATCCGTGTACCTTTAAACCTTCATAATTTTTGACTGCTGTACAAGAAACAAAATGGAGAGAAACTGGGCTTATATAGATTTCTTTCTCCTGGCCGGTAGGCAACCCTACTTCCAAGGGACTAGGAACAAAGTCTGGACAAGGTTGCTTCCCCCGTGCATTCAGAAGTCAGGGTCTAAAATATTTCAGCAGGTCTGTGAGAATGAAGGGACCCTTCATTCCCAAATGGTCCTGCTGGGGGGGGGGGGGGGGGGCTGATTCCCACAATACACAGGCCAGGTCTGGGGTTTTGCACTGTTTCCTGTTTAACAGACACACATCCGTTTCAGGGTCTCCTTAGTTCCTAATTCAGATTGCAACTGTGGTATGCATGGTGAAGGGGATTCAGCCGTCATACTGTTTTCCTGTCTTGAAATTATCTGTGAGTAGGTCAATTGAGGAACCTTACGAGTTTTCATGTGGGTTTCCCCAAACCTATCTATCTTTTTAGGGTGATGGTTTCTTACCTTATGAATACATTAAGCAACAATGACTCAAAATGACTAAGCATGGGATATGAATGTGACTAAACAAATCAGAGATTAAACAACACAAAAGGGGGACCTGCAAGGACTATAAGAGGGGTGTCTCATTTTCCTCTCCCCTACTGCCTCCCCCCTTCCCCTGCTTTCTTCTCTCCTTCCCACTAACCAGCCAACCTACCTTTTATCTGCTCATCTTCAGCTATATTTGTTATTATTATTAACAAAATGTATATCCCACCTTTCTGCCCCTACAAGGGTTGCCAACGCAGCTAACAATTTAAAACACACAAAACAAAATTACATTATAAAACCATTAACCACCACCCCTGGGTTGCCAGACCTCCTGGTGGAGGCGAGGATCCCCCTCTGCCAGGCCCTGCCCCCCAGCTGCCAATCAGCTGACCAGCGGGGGGACTTACCTGGAGAAAGAGAAATGCTCACACCTCATCACCAATGTTGTGCAAAAATGACATATCACACCAGCGATGTCCAGGTGATGCTCTGGTATTTGGGCAAAAACTCTATGGTAGAAGCCACTTGTACCATAGAGCTTTGGGCCAAATACCAGAGCATCACCTGGACATTGCTGGTGTGGTAGGTCACTTCCTGTGCGGCACTGGCAACGAGGCCTGGGCCTTTCTCCAGGTAAGTCCCCTCCCCATCCCCTGCTGGTTCCCAGGTCTTAGCAACCCTTCCCCTTCCTAGACATACATCATTAAAACAATTTTTAAGAGAATTAAAAGCCAAAGTTAAAATACATGCAAAATAGTTAAAATACATAGTAAACATAAAAACATTGGTTAGAAAGGAGGGTCATTGAGGGAATGCCAAATGAAGCACAAAAGTCTTCATCGGTTGGCGGAAGACAGCAATGGAAGGAGACTCTCCCTGGGGGAGAGAGTGCCAGTGCCATGACTGAGAAGGTCCTCTCCTGGATTGCCACCTGCCTGATCTCAGAAGGCGAGGGCAGCCAAAGAAGGGCCTCCAAAGATAATCATAATGGTCAGGCAGGTCCATATAAAGGATTAGGCAGTCCTTCAGGTATGCTGGTTTATTATTTACTTACTTCATTTATACCCCTCCTTTCTCCCCAGGGGGCATCCAAAGCAGCTTACGTACTTCTCCTATCCTCCATTTTATCCTCACAACACCACTGTGAGGTACACTAGGCAGGAAGTGTGCGTTTAGGCCAAGATCACCCAATGAGCTTTAGAGTTGCCAGCCTCCACGTGGGGCCTGGAGATCTCCCGCTTCTACAACTGACCTCCAGCTGACAGAGATCAGCTCCCCTGGAGAAAATGGCCGCTTTGAAGGGCGGACTCCATGGCATTGTACCCCTCCCCAAACCCCGCCCTCTCCCAGATCCACCCCCAAAGTGGATCCCAACCCAAAGCTGGTAAGTGAGCTTCCATGGGAGAGCAGGGATTCAAACTGATGTGTCCCAGATGCTAGTGTGAAACTAATCCACTATACTACTCTGGCTTTTATGTGGTGACTGCTGCTGAATAGTAGTGAACAGCCAGGCCTGCCAGTGGTTGCCGCTGAGCTTGGCCCATGAGCAGTGTTCCCTCGAAGCTGAGTCAGTGTGAGCTAGCTCACAGTTTTTTAGCCTCCAACTCACCCATTTTTGCCTTAGCTCAGGAAGGAGGGCTCCAGAGCAGACTAATTGATGCAGTAGCCAAATCGCTCGCTCACAACTTTTAATGCCAGTAGCTCACAAAGTAGAATTTTTGCTCACAAGTCTCCACAGCTTAGAGGGAGCATTGCCCATGAGTCCTCTCTCAAAGGCCAAATCAGGCCTGGAAAAAGGCCTTTCCCATCCCCTTGCTTTTTATTGACAGAAACCAAGGCCTAAAGGCTGGTAATACTGTTGTAGCTGCCTAGCAAGCCCGACAGTGGCCACTGCAGGGGGTATTTTTCCCTTAAAGGTACAGGCCTCTTGGGGGGGGGGGTTAACTTGCCTTTTTAAAAAAAAGATTTCAGATTTTTCTGCAAATCTGAGGCTTTTCTCAGCTTTGTAGAAAGATCAGTCTAATCTGATCATGGCTCCAGTCTCCAGATTTAAGTATCCACAGTAGGGGCAGTGCTGAGAATCAGATATATTGATGATATAGGAAGAAGAAGAAGAGATGATTGGATTTATACCCCGCCTTTCACCACCCAAAGGTGTCTCAGAGCGGCTTACAAACTCCTTTATCTTCCCCTCCCCACAACAGACACCCTGTGAGGCAGGCGGGGCTGAGAGAGCTCTTGACAAAAACTGCTCTTTTTCGAGAACAGCTCTTATCAGCTATGGCTTGCCCAAGGTCATCCAGCCAGGTGCAAGTGGAGGAGTGGGGAATCAAACCCGGTTCTCCCAGATTAGAGTCTGCACACTTAACCACTACACCAAACTGGCTCTCTTTTGTATTTATTAAAAAGTAGCTTGCATTCTGCAGTAACTTACCTTGCAATTACAGTTGCCATTGGACCATCCTGTCTGTATATCCCAAAGCCTTTACATGCGTTGGCAATCTTGTTGGAATATGTTCTGTGTTTTAGGGGCACGTGGTCTGGCTTTGGTGAACTGTAAACCCCCCGAGGAAGCTCCGTGTTGGCAGCAAATGTGGCAAAGG